TTGGTTTTGAAAATTATTTTTTAAAATCTTTTTGTTATGAAAATAATTTTTTATCAAATCTTTTGTTTTCATAATTTTTAGTCTTGATTTTGATGAGAGGTTTGCATTTATATAACCCTCCGGATTTATTGGGTGTTTATTCTCAAATCATGTTTACCGGATGCTAGAATGATTATATGGGTTAGAACAAGCTTTAGAGCTTGATATATTGTTGCCTCTCTTGAAATTCTTTTGTTAAAGATTTTGTTTTGATTTGTTGCTTTGAATTCATTATATTTCACTTATATGATGATAGTTATATGTTTGTGCTCATTGATCATCTATTCGTGCCTTATAATGTATTCTATATGTGATTTGATCAAGTTTTACAAAAGAAATTTTTTTGATCAAACATTGTTTTTTAAACTTAAATCTTGATTTATGATTTCATTAATTACCTTGTTTTCATTTGAAAACTTTTTGCATGATTCTCATGTTCTATCTTTGATTTCATAAATCTATTTTTTATACTATGTTTTTATAATTGTGTAATGAGACACTTCTTTCATAAATGATATATCTATGTGTCCTCATTATCCTCTTGTATGTGAGTGATATTTAGCATATTCATCTATGTTTGCTCACATATGTTTGCCATGATCCTCATTGCATATATTCTATATGGCTTTTTGATAGGGGGAGCAATCCCTATATCTTTCTATGTGTTATACTCATCCATGCTTATTGATAGGGGGAGCTTTCGCTCTCTTAATTCTTTTGTCCCCTTTTTGATGTTGTCAAAGGGGGAGAAATATTGTGAGTATGTGTATATTCTTTCTTGTTTATATGCATGTGAATTATATCTTATATATGTTCATTTCCTTCATGCACATACTTCGTTTTGTAAATTGTTTGTCATCATCAAAAAGGGGGAGATTGTTGGCCTTCTTGTTTTGATGATGTTTAACAAACAATTTATTACTAATGTTGTTTGTCTAGTGTTTGTGCATTCCTATGTTTTGTAGACAAACATGTAACATGTTTATTATCATGTTTATAAACATTTTCCAAAGTTTCATAATTTTTGGAATTTATTTGTTATTTTTAAAGGCACTTTAAAAATCAGTTTTCCAGCATGAACAGTGCCTGTGCATGTTTATAAGTCGACTTATAAACCCTGACAAGTCGACTTATGAACTCCTCTAGAAAGTGCATTTTCTCCTCTGCTAAGTCGACTTATAAAGCAAGGCAAGTCGACTTATATAAGTCGACTTATAACTTTTTATAAGTCTACTTATGAAGTGTTGCACAGTTATGTATTTTTGACCAGTTTACAAAATAAATTATTTCTCTCAAATGGGAAGTGATATTTAAGAAATTCCTTCTCTAACATGTTCATATACACGTTTAGAAGCTTCCCTAAAAATTTTATAATTTTTGGAGTTAATTTACTGTGTCAAATTGATTTTAGAAAATCGGGTGTTTCAGCAGTTTTTAGAATCTGAAATATCTGTATTCAAATATTCATTTCTCACAAATGAGAAGTGATATTTCAGAAATTATTTTTGTAAAATGTTTATTTACATGTTTAGAAACATCCCTCAAAATTTCATAATGTTTAGAGTTGATTTACTATTTTTAACTGATTTTACAAATCCAGATACGCATAATTTTCAGCATCTGCCAAAAACTGTATATGTCATAAGTCGACTCTAAGTCGACTTATCAGAGAGCCGTTGCACAGTAACGGCTAGTTTTCTGTTTTGTTTGTTTTTGGGTTTTTGGTCATTTCCTTGGGGTTTTGGCTGATGTCTTGGGTTGTTATATATACCCCATTGCTGATGTCTTTTCAAACTAACCAATAGAGTTTTAAAACAAGTTTAAGAAAGTTTTAATCAAGGGTTTAAGTTTGTTTAAAGTGTGTTTATAAGCTTTTAAGCATTTGAGTGTTTCGATTTTGTGAATCAAATTCCACAAGAGCTTGAGGAGATTATCTATTGAAGTTTGAGCTTCCAACTATCATCCCTCCATCTCTTGTTATCAACAAGCTCCAAGCAGCTGGCGAGCGGAGGCAGCGACGGCCTGGTTCATGTATGGGATGCCCGCAACCAGGATCAGCGGGCCTTTCGTTTCAAGGTTGCCGCCAGGGATGCCTCCGTCAGGGCCCTTGACTGGTGCCCTTTCAAGGGCTGCTTGCTGGCCACGGGGGGAGGTGTCGGAGGGGACGGCAACAGCAACGGATCCATCAGGTTCTGGAGCACGCAAACCAGTGCCTGTGTGGGGTCGGTGGAGACGGGCGGCACCCGGGTCTCTGCCCTGCTGTGGAGCAAGAACAGTCAGCAACTGCTGAGCTCCTGCAGCGGTGGTAACATGACCCTTTGGGACTACCCATCGCATGCTAGGACTGGGGACCTCGTGGGTCACACCGCACGGGTTCCCTACGTGGCTTTGAGCCCAGATGGCACCACGGTTGCATCGGCTTCGGGGCCCGACGACCACTCAACGCTGAGACTGTGGAACATTTTCCCCCCAGTTCCCAAGCCCACATCTAGACCGCCCTTCAGCGGTTCGTATCATGCGCACATCAGGTAATCACACACGCGCACATCAGGTAATCACTCACGCACGCGCACCACGTGCACACGTATACACACACTTTGCTTGTTTATTTATTATCATGCCAGTAGTTCGTATAGTGCTTCGTGGACACGCATGCCATATCTTAAAGTTATTTTGTTGATTTTTCCTAACCGATTTTTTGATTTTAAGAAGATTTTCCATATAAACATGCACCTTCATCTCTTGTACATGCTATGCTTTTATCTACTTGATGAATTGTGCTCAGTCGAAACCAAGAAAACACCTCATACAGATCTCACTGAAAGATTTTGGTCTCAAGCTGATTACTTCGAAGCATGAGAAGAAAGTTGTTGTATGGAGGTGCAAGAGTTTTGCGATGCGGCTGGTGCACATATTCTAAGCAAGAGGTTTTAGAGCTTGGAGCTTTTCTCACTTCTCCCTCGCCGATATCAGCTGCTTCATTTTCATGGAAAGCTTCATACTGCAGTCAACTGAGCGTCCTTGGAATGAAAGGTTGTGAGCATGTTTCCAGTATTTGCTGACGCCCTTGTTTTCGTCGCCTTGATTTTTTCGTCCTCTGTGTTTACTGATTACTTGGGTATGATTGTAAATTCATAATGCAACAACTCAGTGTAATTGAAAGTTTTTATTAAAGGATTTAATAAAAATACACTTCCAAGTTCCATGGTTTAGTTTTGTGGGCTTTAAATCAGTTTATGTGCATATCAAATGTCTTTCTTGAATAGGATTTTTTCTGTAATGTGCTTGAAATTTTTCAGAAAGA